GTGGGCGGTGGGGCGGTGGGCCGGCCTCGGGGCCGGGGGAAGCGGTATGGCCTGCGCAGCGCCTGCCCTGCGCTGCGGGACGGGCAGGCCGGGTGCCTTGGGGGCTCCCCGCGCCTTGGGTGCAGGCCAGGCGGCCGCCACGGGAGCAGCTATTAGCCCAAGGTGGCCTTTGGGGTGGCCGGTTCTCGCTGGCCCACGGCTGAAACCTGCCTTGGGTCGGGCATCCAACAGCATCTCTGCGGAGCCGCGTCTCCATCCGCCCTCAGCACGGGCTCTACCTGCGTTGCTGTTGCAGGATCGCTGGGAAAGTGTAGGAGCCTCTTTCCTAGGTTCAACAGTTCAGAGACCCCTTTTTCTCTCCTTGTTTGTCTGGCTGCTAAAGCTGGCCCCAAGCGCCTATTATTGCTGATCTCCTTGGCTGTAATAGAGTTGCAAACATTGCGCAAAAGCTCTCTTTGCCCTTACAGCTGTTCCTGTAACAACTCCTGCAGCAGCTCAATCCCCCCTTGCCTGTCCCTCTCTGCAGAAGATCAGCTCCTCTGTTTGTTTAAACTTCGTGTTCTTCGCTTCCGTTCCACGTGATGCCTTGGGCTAAACATTTTAATCACCCCTGGGCCAGCATTTGCTCTGCAGTACTGGTTGCAGTTCTTCCAACATGATCATCAGCCTGATGATCCGAGCCCTCATGATGTTCCCCCTGGGATTTTGCTGGCCATCGGTTTTCCAAGAGGTAAGTTTGACCTCCAGAAAATACAGTTTCCAGGAAGGCTTTTTTATTTCTAGGAAAGACAAAAGGGAAAATGTAATGTGTTCTAAGCCAAAATGTATCAGACCACACTAATCAAGGAGATAAAACTATTTCCCCTGGGTGGTAATTGTGTAGCATATGCTTAGTACAAACTAAAACCATTAGAACTTGGCATCAGTACTTGTGAAATTGTTTGCTGACATTCCTTCCAGGTTAGGTTTAGTTAAATTATAGTCTTGTATCCATTTGTTTTTCTTAAAAAAAAAAAACACATAAAGCTGTTCTTCTTATTGCAGAAATTTCTCAGAGCTTTGGATCCGGAAGATGTTTTCTCTTATTTTGGCACCAGCTCAGTTTCTGACGGTATGCAGGGCTCCTTCCTTCTTGGTTCTGGAGCACGCTTGTCAGTTTATTTCTAATCCTGTACGTTTGATAGCACTAAGAACGCTTATTTCCTAACCTTGATCTGACAAGTGTTTAACGTTTCTGAGTGACTTTACTCATGCAGATAATCCTTGTTTCAGTGTGTAAGCAGTTGAAGAACTGGGTCAGTATTTAAAATCTGCTCACAGAGGTATGATGAATCTTTTTGCACTTTTCTGTTACAGTCCTCATTCTCCTTGTTGACATTTTTCTACAAAATAAACAGATCTAGGTCTTCTGAGTGGGAAGCTGTAGACTAAAAATGATTTTAAATGTGCTTGTTAAATATTTTAAATAAGCGTGTGGCGAGACTAGTATTCCAGGGCTAGATTGGCGGTAGTTCAGAATTAAGATGCGTGATAATTTTCAGACTCTCCAAGCAAGGATATTTTCTAGTGGTGAGTTCACCTAGTGCTCGTTCCAGTGTCTCTGGATTATGCTAATTCACGCTCCGGTAATACTTAGCATCTGAAGAAGTAAAACTGTCTCAGCCTTTGTGAAATGAGCTGTTCTCAATGAGGAAGCAAAAGTGCAGATAAATCAGGAGCCAGTTTCAGAGCTGCTGTCTGTACCCGCATTATAGTTTGGAGTAGATAACAGTGCAGACGTTTCTTGACTGTTCTGGCACAATGACCCCAAAAGGCCACAGCTGTTACTTGGAGAATAATTTTTCCCACAGAGACAGATAGTTACTTAGCTTGCCATGTATCATTATTATTTGTCATAATTGTTCCCCTTTTTCTGGTCTTTTTTCATTTCTTTCAGTACCTGAGTTTGTTGTTGCTCAGCCGACTTGCCCTGGTAAAGAAGAGCAGATTGGGCTGGCGTCCTATCGGATTCAACACTGCTCCATTGAGGCCTGGGGACAACTCTATGCCTTTGAGTTCCTAGAGGACCATGCCCTCCTGTCCTCTTCCTTTGTGAGCCATCATATGATGAACTCTTCCTTTAGCTTGCTGAAGCGATTCTCAAGCAACTGCTTTGCAGGAGGCAATCCACTGCAACCTCCAGGGGCTAAGTGTAGAGTCACGTACTGTGAAGGGCACCTGGTGAGTATGCACTGAATGTATCAGCTTTATCTTATGAGCATTTACAGCCTTTGTAGGTTAGCAACTGGATGCCCCAAGCAATAAATGCCTTAACTGTGTTTAAGTCCTGCATATGTGAACCACCCATTTGGTAAATCTGAGCATTAAAAAGGAGAAACAGGAAGGATATGGCGCACAGTTTTCCGTTGATAGCAAGTGTCTTTGGAATAACTCAGAGATGGAATTTCATCTCCTTTAGCAAGGAGTCATCGTTGCAGATGAGGAACAGATTCATGTCAGGCCTGTCAGAAGCAAAGATATTGCCCTGCTGAAGGACTTGGGTTTCTCCAGACCCCACATTCTCTTCAGAAGCGCTGGAAGAGGGGCAAGTACAGCAAGAGGTAACGTATGTGGTTATTCGGGGAGGAAGCCCTGGCCGTTCTGCTCTCACAAGCTGTCTTCTAGTCATGGGGTTGCATGGATGAGCTCAAGGGAAAGATTTACACCTGCAAACATATGCTTATACTTGATATATGTTTCTCACCTCACTGAGGTGTAAATAGCGTGTTTCCATTTAGCTGTTTTTCGGCAGAATAAAGCCTGTGCGATGTATCCATCGCTAGAGCCATATTCTCATACTCCTCTGCTGTTCCATCACTGCTGATGACTTCTGCAATGGCCGTCTTTTTATCTTTATCTTCCCTTGATAGGACTGGCTTTGTCACTTACACAAGGCTGATTAGCACACAGAGGGATATGGATATTGGCCAAGGGCGATTTTGGACTTGGTGGGGGGTGTTTTACACACACTGAAGTTTGTTATCAAGGAGGCAGTCAGGTGAGAGAAACCAACAGAAATGGGAAAACTGGGCAAGTGTCTGGAGGAGTGGTCCTGTAGTTGGATAATTCTAGTCTTTCAGGAAAAGGGAGTGGATCTGAAGGAGCGTCTGTGTCGTTCTACGTCTTAAACTACCTGTGATGCTCTTCAGCAGAGCAGTCTCCTCGCCTGCAGAAGAGGGCTGAGGGAACTGTCAAACATCTGGAGCTGATGGTTGTAGCAGGTCCTGATGTTTACTTGTACCACAAAGAGGACACGGAGCGATACATTCTTGCTAACCTGAACATTGTGAGTAGCTTGCTGTTTTGAGTTGCTGTCCCAGTTTGAGAGCTCACAGTGTGGCAGGCTGGAAGGGAGGCTGGCAGACTCACTTCCGTGAGCGCACTCACAGATGTGTTTGTGATTACCTGCTCCTATTACAGAGCACTGCCTCTGTGCAGGGCATTCCTCTGTGCCTCCGCTGGCACTGCACGTGCAAGCTTACCCCCTTATACAAGGAGCTGCATGAGTAGAAGTGGGCGTTCGAAGCTTTGAGGTTGTAGCTTTGGAGCCCGTGTAGAAAACAGAGCTATTTGTTTCATTACTAATTGATATATAGTTGACGTCAGATCCAGTAGCAGGAGTTTTATCACCAGAGTCTTGATCCAGTCCCTATTGACTTCAGGGGTGTTGAACCAGATCCGCTGAATTAATCTTATGTTTTACGTGCAAACGTTTTATTTCTATTACAGTTACTTCCCCCTTTGCTCTCAATAAGAATTTGTTTATGCATTTTCTTTGTGTATGGATAGCTACAAAGTATTTAGCATTCATTTTCCTACCCCGTGAAACTCTTTTGCATGCAGATGTTTATCTCTGCTTTAGAATACCCGACAAATCTGACAGCACTTCTCGTCAATTGACAGATTTTTTTTTTACAGGGTGATTTGTTCTCAAACAACCCCTTTATATCCATGCTTTAACATTGTACTTCCCGGTGATTTTCTGGTTGCCTCTTACGATCACTAGGTGTGTTACCAGCGTCAATGATGGTACTCCTGTTTTTGAGAGTGGGTAGTGTGAGTCACCTAGGTGCCTTCTTTCCTGAATCCTTTTTATCACTTAACAGGGAGCAGAGCTGCTGAGGGATGCTTCACTGGGTGTTCATTTCAGGGTTCACCTGATGCAAATGATTGTTTTGCGAGAACCAGAGGTAAGCAGGGAAGATTTTGCTCAAGTCTTGTCCAGGGGGTTGGTAAAAACCGTATGAAATGCGCAGACGCGTGCCTTCATTCTAGATGGACGTAAACATCACGACAAATATCACCTCCTCGCTGATGAGTGTTTGCGAATGGAGCAAGAAAGTCAACCCCCAGAACGACTCTGACCCCCTGCATGCTGACATTGTCCTGTATGTGACCAGGTACTGAAGCTCCCCTGCCCTGGGAAGAGACTGGAAACAAGAGGGTTGGTGTCCAGCTACCAGCGTAATGGCCGTGATTTACACTGAGTCTTCCAGCACTTTCACAGCAAAGAGCCTATGGAGGAGGACTGATTCTCCTGCTTGGGGTTGATTCTCCTGCCCTTAATGTAGTGTGGTTAGTCAGAGGTGCCATTTCTTCAGTTTCTGGAGGAACTGAAATATTCCCCAAGCACTGATGAGCCAGACTGCAGTGGACATAGTGTGCTTGCAGAGCGGCACAGCCAAACCCACTGCAGCTGCTTCTGGGCAGAAAAGTCAAGTGGCAGCTGGACGTGAAAACCTGTTGGTGTTTCTAGAGGGTTTCTAATGCTACAGAGATTTCATCTGACTCGCACGTTTTATCTGAGTTTCAGGGTCCTTGCTCTAAATTGCCTGTGCTAAGCGTATTGAAAGAACTCTCTTATTCAGTGTAATGGCTTTGTTTTGGTGCTTTTTCTTCGAAAAGGTGATGATAGCGCTCTGTCTTTTGCAAACACGGTTAGGTCATTGCATTCTTTTTGCTTATCTGGGGACATTATGCTTTTCAATGTAGAATCACCACAGCCTTTAAACAGTGGGCGCTAGTGTGACCCTCCTGCTCCCATCTTGTCCCAGGGAGATGCATGTGTCAAAAGAAATTTAGGTAGTTGGCAAAATTAGACTGAGAGGGTGCACATAAATTCAGTTGAAAGTCTAGACCTGACTTTATTAATTGCAGTGGTTCTTTGCTCTTCCCTGTGTATGTGTCTCCCTAACCTGAGGTTTGACCTGGAGTTGCCTGACGGGAACAAGGAGCTACGTGGAGTGACCCGTTTAGGTGGAGTCTGCTCCTCCTTCTGGAGTTGCGTTATTACCCAGGACACAGGCTTTGACCTGGGAGTCACCATAGCCCATGAGATTGGGCACAGGTCAGTGAGGAAAGCCGCAGAGCAGCAAAATATGCCTGCTGTTTTATTCACGAAAACCCATTTCCCAATTGAAAGGCTTCAAGAGAAAGAAAAGTATCTCCTGGCATTAACAGTGGGCTTCCCACAGATTATTCAAAACTTTTGGAAAGAGTTCCTTGCATTCCTG